CTCTCTATTATTTCTCTCTCTAGAATATCTTTTGATATGTTACTCCTTATAAATTATAAATATTTATTAATATATCATTATTTAATATTTAATTATTAAATTTCTAATTTTTCTTGAATGCCTTCAAGAAATTATTACTAATGGCTGAGCTTTAATTTATTTAATATAATATGTAATAATATGCATTTAATTATTAATATTAGCAATATTTAATTGTCAGTATTGTTAAAATGATAATATTCATTCATATGCAATATAAAGATCAAAATGATAAAAGAGAGAAAATGTGAATTAAGTGAGATAAAAAAAAATGCATTAAAGATAGAAAATTTTTATAAGAAAATTTGAATAAATAAAAATATGCATTAAAATAACCAAAAAAAATATAATATGTAGTTTATATCCAAAAAAATTTAAAAAGACTAGCATGCAAGCAGGTAAAATTGTTAAATTTGAATAATTATTCATCATTTTCTTTGGAGAAAAAAAAACTTGCAAGATTTGTTTAGTATAATCTATATATTTGATCTGCAACAATTTGCATTCAAATAAATAAATATTCATTACACTCAATATTGGCAAAAATAATAATTATATTTAAAAAAAGAAACTTGGCACTTAAATTAAAATATAAAACTCTAGGGGAAAATTTTTTAAAAATTAAATAAACAAAAATACATAATTATACAAAATAAAAAGTTTAAAATTATGCATTAGTAGTCATTTAAAAAAAATTACTTATTTATGAACACTATTGGAGCTGTGTGTTTTTAAGGGGTCCCCCACCCATGCTAAATATTTTTTTATAATTATAATATATATTATATAAAATAAAATTTTGCTGTCCCAAGGAAAAAAAAATTTAGCCCCTACGCAGTGTATATTTACTTACACGTGATGACTTGTATGAAAAATAAATTAGAAATTTATTATAAAACTCAATTCAAAGTTAGATATTGAATTTAAAATTAAATTTGAGAAATTTAAGCTATTTTATAAAGATTAAAAAGTAAATCTTATATCAAAATAGTAACCAATACATTATTATTATATTATCATATTCATAAATTTAGCTTTAATTTGCAAGGTGATATAATAAATATATTAACTTTATATGACTTTTAATGCTCAGTACTTCTTGGATGCATTTGATATATAAAGTATAAATGTTCATTAAGATTGATTGAATGATAAAATGAAAGTATCTTATTAAGATATTATTACTTAGATTAATCATAAGATTAAATAAGATAGTATAATTTAAACATTATTTAGACATATATATTATGAATAATTATTGATAATTTATTATATAAAAATATATACATTATAATATCATTCAATTAACAGTAATTTTATTAAATTAGTAATTAATAATTTTAATTTAAAAGCATTAATATTATTAAATTAAAATATATAATTAAATATAGATTATTTAATATACTATATAGTATTAAATATTTATGTTAATCATGAAATATACTTATTAGACTTGATAAATAATTAAGTATTGAATTCTTAGATTAAATTAAGTATACGTGATATTTTAATTAAATTAAAGATATCTTATTTCAATCAATTTTAGTAATTAGTAATAAGTAAAATAAAATTTAATTAATAAATAATTATAATACTTTAATTAGTAATTAAATATTAAATATTTATAAAAATTATAAATTAAATATATTTAAATAAATTTTAAATACATATTTATATTATACTAAAATTTAGATTTTTATGAGAGATATGCACAATTTAATTACATTGTTCTAATTAGATCCTCTAATAGTGAGTAAAATAACAAAAAGATTAAATAAATAAAAGAAACCAAATTATTTGATTTAATTTTGTATCTTTGATCTTATTTCAATTAATTTTAGTAATTAGTAATAAAAATATTTAAATGTTATATTTTTATATACTTTTGAATCTAAGAGATAAATCTTAAATATTAATAAATATATATGCACTTAAAAAAATTTAAATACATTTTATGCATATCCAAATTAAATAATTGAATTATTTCAACTGACAGTATAATGAAATTAAATTTTAAAAATAAATATGAAAATATATAGAAAGAAAAAATTTAAAAATATTACATCACTTGAGATTTTGGAAAGTAAATATGAAAATATATAGAGAGAAAGTAGGTAAGAGAGAGATTTATAGCATTAATTAATTAGGGATATTTTAGTTATTTCATTTAGCACATCTTTAAATAAGGATGTACTAAATAAATGGTTGAGATGAACTTTATTAAATATCAATGGTTAACAATAAATATTTTACTTTAGTTAGTATAAGCCTGACTGATTGTAGGCAAACCCAATTTTTTATTGGTTTCAATTAAGCATTGGTACTAAGAAAGAAAAAAATTCTCTCACCAAAAAAAAAAAGAAAGAAAAAACTGTCCAAATTTCTCCATAGATCCGAATCCTATCACGAATCCTTACAAATTTTAATTATTTAAATTGCGAGATTATTATAAATTTGGAATTATCCAAATAAAGGCTTTTATACACATTTGACTGATATACTCTATCTATCAAATTTATCCCATTATCACATTATAGTTATCACGTGTTTAATAAAAAATATGATATAAAGTTACATATGTCTGTAAGGTCCCTGAGTTCAAAAAAACAACATATATATAAAAAACACACCTTAGAGCTTGGAATCATTTTATATTCTCTAAATTCACATACAACGATTTTAGACTTTGTCATTAATTGCTGGAAGTGTTTCTAAATTTATTCCGCAATTTGTTTTGAGCATTATACTGTTATTGATTTCACTAATCGACCGTTCAATTTTTTATTTTATTTTATTTTTTTTTGGTTTTTGACTGCTCAGTTTTATATAAAATAATTTACAACTTAAGATTGAGCAGTTTATCCGCCTCTTGTGCCCTCTAATTCTGTTTAAAATTCATGAAATGGATTTACAGGAACCCTAGTTCTATAGTTATCCTGTAGCTTGGATGGAGGACATTTCTGAACAATTGACACAGCATGTAAGTGCTACTATAAGCAAAAAAACAAAAGTCCAACACAACCCACTTCCATTTCCACTTCATCAAACCCATGAATTTCCAAAGTAAATTTTTTCCCCTCTCTCAAGACATTCATTGCTTTCTTTTTGGTTTTCTTCATCGTGCCCTGCCTTCCCATAAACAAACTGTCACAAATAGCACACCCTCCTAAAAAGAAATATAAATAATAACATTTTCAAAATACACCACATGAAGAGGTAAAAAGAATTCTCAAACGGCATTTTCAAGAATTGTCTTATGAAACAATTTTACAAAACAGAAAATACATGCAAACATGGTCTAAGAATTCTATAATCTCGCTATTCTGTCCACTGCCCCTTAATCTGGCTATGGTCCAAAGTTCAAGTTATGCTGCCCTATTCTCACTGTTCTATACTCGCTTTTTGACTTAAATTTTTAGGACACAAGTAAAAAAATTGTTAGAAGCAACTTCTGGCAACCAACAGACAACTGAAATAACAATCCAGTTTGCAAATCAAATTATTACATTACAGTTACAACCTATATAAATATGAGAATAGATGTCATATGTTAGGCAATATATGAATATTGTCCAACTTATGACATTCAAGCACACCTCCTTCAAGGAGCAGACTGACACATCTGATCAAGCCTCGTCTATTTGCTCCTGCATCAACCGAACATAAAAATTTAGCTATAGTCTTAGATAAGCAAATGATACTTGAAAAACAACCCATGAAACATTGCACGGACAATCTTAACATTTGTGCTAGCTATGTTTCATTTAAATCTTCAAATCGAAAAGAGTAGCCATATCAACGTGAAAGATGATTATGACATTACACAAGATCATTGGGTTACAGGCTTCAAATAGGACAATGCATCTCATGCACTTTCTTTTTCTTGCTACATGAGGTTCTTCCTATTTTAATTTCCTTGCACCAATGGCCAGAATTTTGAACCTGGGCCTAATTTAGGTTACCAATACCTCCTAAAACTTTCAATATTTACTAGATCACCATTTAAGTTTCTAAAATAAAAAGAACACAGTTATGTGCCATGATTTGGTGAAAAGAAGAGGCTGATTTCACTTTCTTAACATCAATTTCACCCTGTTCCAACAAAAAGTAATTGAAGTACATAAGTAAAAGCTTCAAACAGATTAGATTACTATAACAAAATCCAAGATCCTCCCACCTGTGCCTAATATAGTACAATGATAGTGGTGGCATTAGAAGTTTTAATTTTTCTGGAGGTCAAGCGACTGTCATCTTAAGGGCCTAGGTTTGGCAAAATCAGCAACTAAATTGCTAAAAATGGACAGTCACATTGCTCAACAAGTCAACTAAACACAATGATACTGTTGGCAATGAAAAGCCTGAAATTCGTAGCTTTCCAAGTGTGGTTAGTGCAGCATAGGAGAGTAGTTTTAGTTATTTGCTTTTATTATGTTTTACACCTAGTTGTCTGTGAATATAATCGCAAACAGGGACCAAGTTTGGCCATAAAGATTGGTGTACCAAAAAGACTGACTATGCAATAAAAAGGGTTAAGACCATTTTTGCCCTTGCTACGTTAAAAATTTCAATTTGGTACTTATATTATGAAAATATTCATTTTGTTATATGTACTTTGACGAATTGGTCAAATTGACCCTTTTGTTAATGTCAGTCAGGTAACTAGTATATGTTTAATGAAAGAGCCAATTTGACTACTTCGTCAAAATATAAGTACCAAAATCAATATTTTCATAATGCAGGGTCAAATTGCTTTATCACAAAAAAAAACAAATAAATAATAAAACAATTGGACCAGCCATTTGGCGTAGTTTCTTAGTACTTCCAATCCTTATGTACAAATGACTTTGTGAAAAAGGACTTTCAAAATAAAGCTGAAAAAGTGCTCTAATATTTAACTGGATGTTTTGAGGCAGCATTTCAAAAGTGCTAAAATACCCAATAACATGTTAATTTGCACATATTTAAAGTTCGTCAATACCCATTATAGTAGCAACATAATAGGCACTCTATAAAATTTAACAATGTGACCAAAAGTTCAAGTAAGTACAGTTTTACAAATAGTTATGGGGAATTATATTTCATAAGCTGATAGAAGTCTTATGCGAAAACAAAAAAGTGGCTAGTTGGTGAGAGCTTCAGCCTTAGATATAGCTATAAATCCAAAGAAGTAAATCAAATAAAAACCCTATTCAGAAGAAAGTATTCCAATTAATCATATAATATTTACTGACCTGCATGTCAGAAGTCCAGAGGGTGAGATTGTCCCTCAGCAGTTGCATGATGAGAGTGCTATCTATGTAAGACTCCTCACCCAAAGTGTCCAGCTCAGCAATGGCTGCCTCAAAGGCCTACATGGCAAGATTAAACAATATAAGAATCAACTGTCAGACAAACTTTATTGTATTTAATACGTTAAGTTACCAACTTTTAGAATTACTCGTATAAAAAGTTTAAAAAAAAAAGTGTAAAAAGAAGTAACCTTAACAGAAGTTCGGTATTTGTTGCATGGGAAGCATAAGAATGTTAAATGCTACAGCTGCTTCGACTTCACAGTAGCAACTGTGCTAGTAATTACAAGTAAAACACTATACATCGATGGTGAGCTAGGGTTTAGAGGTGAGGTTTCAAAGGGCACGTGATCACTTGGTAAGCTAGTAGGTATGAAGATTTTGCCTTGCATTGGCACAAGCTGGCAGGAGAAGCTAATAGAGAAAGCCTTGGGTGTTGTTGCTCCATCAAGAGGACATGTTCTAGCTCTAAAGGTGACATATGACTCAATCTGGTGTTTTAGTCACTTTTGATAAGCTTACTTACGCTGATCGCTTCATTTTTGCTAATACATTAAACTTTAAGTTCAAAAGTGAGAAGAATTTTAGGAAATGAACAATTCAGCTTTAATATAAATGCACACCTTCCCTGAGCCCTATTCTCTCTGTCATTTCCCTGTTCTGCATGTCTCCGTTTTGCCTGCAAAACATTAGATTAGTAAAAATTAAAAATAAGAAGATGACACCATGTTATGCATGAATTGACAATAATCAAGGTATGGCACTGTTTTCTTGCGAAACGGACTTGCGCTGTAACTAAGCTGTATATGCTTTCCGAAAGACTGCTCGAATGGATAATATGCAAATCATGAAGAATAGCTGAGGCCCTCAATGCTTTGACTTTGTTGTATTTTGGGTATGCCCTTCAATTTTCAATTATTGGACTCCATCAACTCACATGTTTTTTACGATTCCCTATGCTTTATAGCCATTTGAGAACGATACCAATGAGTTTCTTTCTGACTATTGTAAAATATTTGGTGTAATACTAATCTTGAATATTCTATATCATGTCTAGGGACCCTTAATCTCTTTGTTTATGTATGAAACAGATTTTTGCAATTATTTTTTTGTTGTTAATTTGGATGGGAGAAATATATTTTAAATGCTAAACATCAATTCAAATACGTATGTCTTTTGACCTATGGTTACCCCTTTGAGCCTCCACGAATGCACCTTGCTACAAAAGTTTGGTATGACATAATTTGTGAATTGCCATTTTGATTCAGTGTCGGTAACTTTATTTTTCCCGATGATCGATCATTGCCTTCTCTTTTTTAACTTATCCAATTGTTAATGATAGCGTATTCTTACAATAGAAGCAGTCATGTCATACAAATAGCAGCTATGGACCACCAGTGGTGGATATGGGTCCAGGACTATGTAGTGTGGAAATTGCAAAGCAGTGTTGGAAGTAGTTATAATTCCTCCCATGTCAACAAGAGAAGAAGTAGTCGTGATCTAACATTAAATGGGTTTTCACGAGGTTCAAAGTAGATTTAAAATGGTTTTGTTTCTTATCAATTGAAAACAATGAGGGTAGTGCAATTAATGTGCACACATGCAAAAGGTTTTCACTGGGTTCATACCCACCACATGACCTCCCACTACAGGTACACACTAGGGCAGTGGTCTAACCTTCAAGGAGCTGCAAAACCTTATCTACTCCCAATGATATTTATTGCAGCCAAAGAAGGTTGCATATTTAGCTCCATCTTTGCTTCCTGTTTTATTTTCAGTTATCTAGGAAATGCTGTTAGGCAACTTATTAAAGAGCCTTCTCTATTCCCCATTACTGTAATGGCAGCCAAAGAAGGTTGCACATTTAGACCCGTCATTCTTTCCTCGCTTTACATAAGTTATTTTTGGACCACGCTGGCAGGCACTTTAGTGGAATCTAAAACTATTTATAATGCTAAACAACGACAGTGGCTTTTTGGTCTGTATCTTCTTAATTTTGTCAAAAAGCACTAAGAGGGCAGCTGGTTCACTCATAATGGCAAGCAAATGATTGGAGCTCCTATTCTCTTGAGAGAATATTCTGAAAAGCCAAAAAAACTGTTTTGCTTTTTATCAGGCTTGTTTAATTTTTGTGCATATCCATTTCATTGTTCGTTAATTTTGAACTCTAAATTTGACTTCCACGTCTAACTAGCTCATTGGTTCTTTTACCTTGTTATCTGCCCACAGTTGTTGCAGGCTTCATATATTTTGTGAAGTATCGGTAATACTGTCATGATCACTATGAATTTGGGGCTTAGATGAGTTGAGCTTGTGTATTGGTTTTGTCATAATCTGTGTTATACGTCTTTCCTATTCAAGTGTCAATTGGCTAACTTATAATATATGAAAGGAAATTAACAAAATTCATAGAAAGGTAAAAAAGAAAAGGATTTGATGAAATATCAAAAAATATATTAAATAACTGTGTTGGTGAAGTAAAGACATTTCTACAGACACTTTGGATGCTGAAGTTTCCTATATCATATGGCATATAAAATCATAGTTCAGTTACATAAATTTTTGGTGAAAGTCTAAAACAACCACTAAACTAATTGGTTACACTGACCGCTAAAGAATTAATTGGTTACACTGACCATTAAATAATTGAATTACATCAAATTAAACCAAATTCAGTGAGACTAACAAGAACACCAAAGTGCATGGAAGTGAATTTGAAAATTAAAAACATAAAAAACACAGAAAAGAGAGATGCAATGACTATGTCACTGCAAGACTAAATGTCGTCCTTACCATTGGAGAAAAGAGAGATCTCAAGGAAGAAAGCTGCCAAGGACAATATTGAGTTGGTTAATATTTTTAGATATTGTTTTATTCTTCTCTCAATGTTTTAACACCTTGGATTCCATAAAATTGAATTTGTCTCAATGACATCACAAAATGGAGGCCCAGTACAGTGGTTTTATCACTCAGATTCATGGGTCAATTGAATGGTGTTATTGGGAATAAGTAATTAGGTTTCCTTAACAGATGATCAGGTTTTCTATAATGGGATGTAAAAGCGAAACAAGGGAGGTATTGTTGTCCATGCATTTTATTCTACAAAATATTTATTTTCAGAAGGCAAGTTATCATTTTGATAAATTTAAAAGACGACTTTTATTCGATTAAAGTAGCTAAATAGTGCGAAGTAGACATTAGCCACTTACATAAAACATGAGTTTTCAAATATTGGCTTGTATTTGACATCTCTCCAGATAGATTGTTTAACTGTAAACTTTCTCGTGATAAGTTGATAATCTATAAGTGAGGCAATATGAGATTTGTAGTTTATGTGTGGGTACTTTTGTAATACCCCTAATTTAGGGGTATTTATGTCTTCCATAAAACACGGACTAAAGTGAATAAATTAAATTAGCAAGGGAGGAAATCTCGAGAAAATAAAAAACTGTAGGGATTAAATCAAAAAGAATCAAGATTTTGGGGATCAAATCAAAATAAACCAGAAACTTTAGGACTAAATTAGGAAGAATCTGGAAATATGGGGACTGAATTATAAGAAATCAATTCTTTTCCAGAATCGGATCCAACAGATTGGCCGTGATTTGGAAACCGAAATCTGAGCAAAACAATTGCGATTTTGCTTGAAATCCTTACAAAAATCAAGCCGATGGTAGTGACAAAGCAAAACCCCTCACACGATTTCAAGAAATTTCTCCCTAAAACTTAGTAATCACTGAGTTTTTAGTTTTGGTGGCCAAACCGGATTGCTCAGAAATCCGGATCGGAACCAGTGGCAGGTGGCTGATTTCCTTCACCGGCACTGTCGCTCAGCCAATCCGACGAACACCCACTGGTTTAATTCCAAGGTAAGTGATCAAATCCCTCTGATTTGTTACAGAGACAGTCCGGGTTTTGTCGGATCCGGCTGTCAAAACTGATTCATTTAAAACACGGGTTGGGTTGAACCCGGATGGAAACAAAATAAAATAATAATATTAATATTAATATTAACACTAAAATAGTAGCAGTAAATGGAAAACAGGCCGGTTCACCTAGGAACCGACTGGTTTTCCACCGTTCAAGGGTTGGGTAATTAGGCTACTTAATTATCTAACTAATTAAGTTCTGGTTCAATGAAAAGCAGTACTGTTTAGCTCTGGTTCAAGCTATTTTAAGGTAAAATATATAGAAAATCGGCCGGTTCAGTAGAAAACAAGCCAGTTCACTTGGTTTTTGACTGGTTCATTCCCGGTTCATTGCATAACAGTATAAATAATTAATTTATTTAATTATTTAAAACTTGGTTTAACAAAAATAATTGAGTTTTAAGGCTGGTTCAAGGCAAAAATGCATTAAACCGGCCGGTTCAACACTCTAAGGCCCGGTTCAGTGCTCCTTTGGACCGGTTCAGTGCTTTTTAACCCGGTTCCAAATTAATTAAATGTATTGAAAATAAAAACATGATTAGTTTAATGGTTTAAGTTCAGTTTATGGCCGGTTTAGCCCCCGAACAACCGGTTCATAGCCGGTTCACTCCTTTAATGATCGGTTCACTTCATTAAATGATTATTTAAGGTTTAAAATTACTGGTTTGATATTTTAAGGGAATGGTTTAAGATATTGGTCCTTGGTTCTTGAAGATTTTGACAGTTCGAGACTTAAATAAATATAGGAAGGGACACGGGCACGCAAACCTAAAAATTTAGTTTACTTTTAAATTTCAATTGATTATTATCAAAAATATATATTTAGTTATACAATTATTTCCTGATTCTAGATCGATCGCCCGATTCTGGTTAAGCTGTGTCATCAGGTGTCAGATTTCTCAGTTTCTTCGTGCTGAGTAGTAATGTGTATTTATGAGCCGTTCTGCTTTCCATATTTAATTTAAATCTATTTTTTTCTATTTATTACCTGATTTTCTGCAAATCTGATTAAATTTTTATTAAATTATATGACAAGGGACATGCATGTAATTTCTGAATTTGTTTTGGAAACTTATCTGTTACTTATATCTAACTCAGTTTTATATCAGTACATAGAATTATTCAGTTAATTGTTTTGTTAAATCTGAAAAATATTTATTTTGAAGGAGTTTCGGATTTTTGAACACTGCAGCTAACGGCAGTATACGTTAGCATGATTTGTACCCTGTATGGGTCCCCATCTAGCAGGGGTGATGGTGCTAGACATTTCAGGGCATATGTTGCCATTTCAGTTTCAGGGCATATGTTGCCATTCAGGGCATATGTTGCCATTTTAGTTTCAGGGCATGTGTTGCCATTCAGTTATCAGGGAATATGTTACCATGTTTTTACCCTGGCATTATTGCCATTACCAACTGACTGTGTGTCACTGCTTTGATTATCAGCTGACTGTGTGTCACTGTCTTGATTATCGGTTGACTGTGTGTCACCGATCTATCTCCCGATATATGTTACGTTCAGAATTACGAACTCCCTAAATGATGGAAAGTGTTTGGAAATTAAATATGTTTTAGTAAAAATTACCTGTTATAACTGTATGCATGTTCTTTGATCTTGTAAATGTAGATTATTATTCACTAGGTCAATAGACTCACCCTTATTTTTTCTAGATTTTGAGTACGCTGATCCAGTGGATCCTGCTTACTGAGATGAGTCTGTGGCAATCAGCTGTTCTGTTTAGATTTTCTGTTCAAAGTTAGTTATTCAATTTTATCAGACTTTGTATTCCTGGGATTTTA